TTGGAAAGTATAGCTTTTTGGTTCAAATTTTTCTTTTTTTTAAAGGAGCTGTTCACTTTTTTTGCTCATTTTTGGTTGTTCTTGAATTTTTTCCAATTTTCTCCAATTCGTTGCTTCACATTAAAAAAAATGCTTTCAACTTTCGAGTGTGCAAATAATGAAATACAGCAGGATTTTGATTTGTTCAACTCTGTTAACTTATCCTGTTTGACTTATCTTTTTGTTCCAATGATGAAGTACATTGTCTGAAGTTGACTGACAGAAATTAAGGTGAATGTGGTGGTTTTTGGGTCATCTTGAGGTAGGTCAGGGAAAACTCGTATGAATTCAAGTGCCTGCCGAGACAAAAAGACAAAACTAAATAAAGCCCAAATAAAAGCAAGATTTTACTTCTTGAATCTTTTTCTTTGGAATTGTTTATTAGTTTTGTTGCATTTCTTGCATCGTTTTGGGACCTTCTAAATTGTATCCGCTCCTTCTTACACCTAGTGATGATTGTGCCCTTTTGCAAAAGGGGGGTATAGTTACAGAGATTCCTTTTTTTCATGTTTTGATGTTTCTTTATTATTTTAAAAATGTAAAAACGGAAGAGCAACTGCAATCATGTTTTAAGTTTATGAGACCAGCTTCAGTATATGCTGCAATGACCCTGTACTTGAATGGCAAAACTTCAGCTTGTCGACTGTGAAAGTCGGAATAAAGACGAGCACCTGTTGAGCCGGGAATGAATTGCATTGAATATCTTAACTGTTCCCCCATTTTGTAAAAGGGGATTAGCCGTTAAATCGGTTCATGATAGGGGTAGCAATTCGTTTCTAGGTACCAGAGGGGGAGTAGCTAAAAATCGGATCTCTTTAACAATATGCCCCTTTTACTCTATCATGGAATGTAAAGTTTTAATCAAAAAAATTTTTGCGAAGCAAATGGCATTTTTTTTATTTGTAGCACAACACGTAACTCAAAAACTGTATCTTTTACTTAAAATTGTTAATTGAGACTTGGTTTTAACTCCCCTATTCTTTGCTTAAATTTTAAACAATTGTAACCATCAACAATTAAATCAAAACTTGTCTAACTATTTTAGATGCTCATAAAATTTTCTACAGACGCTTGGAAAATATAGCTTTTGGTTTAAATTTTTCTTTTTTTTGAAACGAGCTGTTCACTTTTGTGCTCATTTTTGGTTGTTCTTGAATTTTTCCAATTTCCTCCAATGGGTTGCTTCACTTTAAAAAAAACTGCTTTCAATTTTCGAGTGTGCAAATAATGAAATGCAGCAGGATTTTGATATATTCAACTGTGTTAACTTATCCTGTTTGTCTTATCTTTTTGTTCCAATGATGACGTACATTGCCTGAAGTTGACTGACAGAAACTAAGGTGAATGTGGTGGCTTTGAGTCATCTTGAGGTAGGTCAGGGAAAACTCGTATGAATTCAAGTGCTGTGCCACGACAAAAAGACAAAACTAAATGAAGCCCAAATGAAAGCGAGATTTTACTTCTTGAATCTTTTTCTTTGGAATTGTTTATTAGTTTTGTTGCGATTCTTGCATCGTTTTGGGACCTCTTAAATTGTATCCGCCCGTTCTTGACCTAGTGATGATTGTGCCCTTTTGCAAAAGGGGGGGGGGTATAGTTACAGAGATTCTTTTTTTCATGTTTTGATGTTTCTTTACTATTTTAAAAAAGTAATAACGGAGGAGCAACTGCAATCAAGTTTTAAGTTTATGAGACAAGCTTCAGTATATGCTGCGATGACCCTGTACTTGAATGGCAAAACTTCAGCTTGTCGACTTTGAAAGTCGGAATAAAGACGAGCACCTGTTGAGCCGGGAATGAATTGCATTGAATACCTTAACTGTTCCACCATTTTGTAAAAGGGGATTAGCCGTTAAATCGGTTCATGATAGGGGTAGCAATTCGTTTCTGGGTACCAGAGGGGGAGTAGTTAAAAATCGGATCTCTTTAACTATATGCCCCTTTATTATTTTCGGGCCAAAGAGACTATTTTTTACATCTTGGAATGTAAAGCTTTGATCAAAAAAACTTTTGCGCAGCAAATGGCATTTTTTTTATTTGTAACACAACACGTAACTCAAAAATTGTATCTTTTCCTTAAAAATGTTGATTGAAACTTGGTTTTATCTCCCCTATGATTTGCTTAAATTTTAAACAATAGTAACCATCAACAATTAAACCAAAACTTGTGTAACATTTTAGATGCTCATAAAATTTTCTACAGACGCTTGGAAAATATAGCTTTTTGTTCAATTTTTTTTTGAAAGGAGCTGTTCACTTTTTTTGCTCATTTTTGGTTGTTCTTGAATTTTTTCCAATTTTCTCCAATTGGTTGCTTCACTTTAAAAAAACTGCTTTCAACTTTCGAGTGTGCAAATAAGGAAATACAGCAGGATTTTGATTTATTCAACTGTGTTAACTTATCCTGTTTGTCTTATCTTTTTGTTCCAATGATGAAGTACATTGTCTGAAGTTGACTGACAGAAACTAAAGTGAATGTGGTGGCTTTTAGGTCAATTTGAGGTAGGTCAGGGAAAACTTGTATGAATTCAAGTGCTGTGCCAAGACAAAAGGACAAAACTAAATGAAGCCCAAATGAAAGCGAGATTTTACTTCTTGAATCTATTTCTTTGGAATAGTTTATTAGTTTTGTTGCATTTTTTGCATCGCTTTGGGACCTCTTAAATTGTATCCGCCCCTTCTTGCACCTAGAAATGATTGTCCCCTTTTGCAAAAGGGGGGGTATAGTTACAGAGATTCCTTTTTTCATGTTTTGATGTTTCTTTACTATTTTAAAAATGTAAAAACGGAGGAGCAACTGCAATCATGTTTTAAGTTTATGAGACAAGCTTCAGTATATGCTGCGATGACACTGTATTTGAATTGCAAAACTTCAGCTTGTCGACTTTGAAAGTCGGAATAAAGACGAGCACCTGTTGAGCAAGGAATGAATTGCATTGAAAATCTTAACTGCTCCCCCATTTTGTAAAAGGGGATTAGCCGTTACATCGGTTCATGATAGGGGTAGCAATTCGTTTCTAGGTACCAGAGGGGGAGTAGTTAAAAATCGTATCTCTTTAACTGTATGCCTCTTTATTATTTTCGGGCCAAAGAGACTATTTACTACATCATGGAATGTAAAGCTTTGATCAAAAAAATTTTTGCGCAGCAAATGGCATTTTTTTTATTTGTAACACAACACGTAAATCAAAAATTGTATCTTTTCCCTAAAATTGTTAATTGAGACTTGGTTTTAACTCCCCTATACTTTGCTTAAATTTTAAACAATAGTAAACATTAACAATTAAATCAAAACTTGTGTAACTATTTTAGATGCTCATAAAATTTTCTATAGACGCTTCGAAAATATAGCTTTTTGTTCAATTTTTTCCTTTTTTTTGAAAGGAGTTGTTCACTTTTTTTGCTCATTTTTGGTTGTTTATGAATTTTATCCAATTTTCTCCAATTGGTTGCTTCACTTTAAAAAAAACTGCTTTCAACTTTCGAGTGTGCAAATAAGGAAATACAGCAGGATTTTGATTTATTCAAATCTGTTAACTTATCCTGTTTGTCTTATCTTTTTGCTCCAATGATGAAAAACATTGTCTGAAGTTGACTGACAGAAACTAAGGTGAATGTGGTGGCTTTTGGGTCATCTTGAGGTAGGTCTGGGAAAACTCGTATGAATTCAAGTGCTGTGCCGAGACAAAAAGACAAAACTAAATGAAGCCCAAATGAAAGCGAGATTATACTTCTTGAATCTTTTTCTTTGGAATTGTTTATTAGTTTTGTTGCATTTCTTGCATCGTTTTGGGACCTCCTAAATTGTATCCGCCCCTTCTTACACCTAGTGATGATTGTGCCCTTTTGCAAAAGGGGGGGGGTATAGTTACAGAGATTCCTTTTTTCATGTTTTGATGTTTCTTTACTATTTTAAAAAACTAAAAAACGGTGGAGCAACTGCAATCATGTTTTAAAATTATGAGACAAGCTTCAGTATATGCTGCGATGACCCTGTACTTGAATGGCAAAACTTCAGCTTGTCGACTTTGAAAGTCGGAATAAAGACGAGCACCTGTTGAGCCGGGAATTAATTGCATTGAATATCTTAACTGTTCCCCCATTTTGTAAAAGGGAATTAGCCGTTAAATCGGTTCATGATAGGGGTAACAATTCGTTTCTAGGTACCAGAGGGGGAGTAGCTAAAAATCGGATCTCTTTAACTATATGCCCCTTTATTATTTTCGGGAAAAAGAGACTATTTACTACATCATGGAATGTAACGCTTTGATCAAAAAAATTTTTGCGCAGCAAATGGCATTTTTTTTATTTGTAACACAACACGTAACTCAAAAATTGTATCTTTTCCTTAAAAATGTTAATTGAGACTTGGTTTTAACTCCCCTATACTTTGCTTAAATTTTAAACAATAGTAACCATCAACAGTTAAACCAAAACTGGTGAAACATTTTAGATGCTCATAAAATTTTCTACAGACGCTTGGAAAATATAGCTTTTTGGTTCAAATTTTTCTTTTTTTTGAAACGAGCTGTTCATTTTTTGCTCATTTTTGGTTGTTCTTGATTTTTCAGTACATTGTCTGAAGTTGACTGACAGAAACTAAGGTGAATGTGGTGGCTTTTAGGTCAATTTGAGGTAGGTCAGGGAAAACTTGTATGAATTCAAGTGCTGTGCCAAGACAAAAAGACAAAACTAAATGAAGCCCAAATGAAAGCGAGATTTTACTTCTTGAATCTATTTCTTTGGAATAGTTTATTAGTTTTGTTGCATTTCTTGCATCGCTTTGGGACCTCCTAAATTGTATCCGCCCCTTCTTACACCTAGTGATGATTGTGCCCTTTTGCAAAAGGCGGGGGGTATAGTTACAGAGATTCCTTTTCATAGGGGGATATTCGTTACCAAAGGTGCCCGAAGGGGGATTATAGTTAAGAGATGCGAGAAATCAGTTGTATTTGATTTAGCTGGCTTGTCTTGACCTGTGGGTGAGTGTGTTCTACATGCCAGTCAGTGTGTTCGAGATCTTGACTGACAGCCGGCATGCTCTGGTTTGTCTGGTCGACAAGGGAGGCGCATTCGCCTACGTCACCGCCTCATTCGTCATGTTCATCTGCATTGCAACTGATCGACTCATAGCTGTCAACAAACCACACTCTTACAAGGTCAGTGTGTTACCACGTATGCATGCTACCTGCTGCATAGCAAAGAGTAGGCAGCACAGGTCATTTCAATTGACCAATCGGAATCGAGATTTTAAAAAAAAACAAACGTACGCAAGAATAATAAATATTCATTTGTTATTTTTGCGTACGTTTGTTTTCTTACCTCTGATTGGTTTATGATGAGTCATTGTGACTGTCATGAAGTAGACACATCATAAACCATAATCAGAATCGAGATTTTAAAAAAAATGTTCGCAAGATTGATAATTTCGCTTTTTTCGTACGTTCAATTTTTCTCTCAATTCTGATTGGTTTATGATGTGTCTACTTTTTGAACGAAGTCCGCTGACGTAACAATTCCTGCATTACTTTTTCTTTTTGGAGGGGACGGGGGAGTAGCGATTAGCATATGTACCGAAAACCATGTGTCAATTGCTTCGAGGTGTTCATCCAAACGAAAAATTTATTAGCCTTAATATGTTTTCAACGAATTTTTAATCACGTGTTTGTTAACGCGATTAAATCTCTATTTCTAAACTTTCGGACAAGTGCACGCGTATCAAAAATGTAATTTTGAGTGATGATATCGACATACATGCTAATCGACATTCATGCTAATAGGCCGTACAAGTAAATTGCCGCAAAATGTAAGCTACCCGCACCGGAGTTCCATGGATAATAATCGATTATAATGGAAAAATGTTGTATAAAATGTTGTCATTATAATCTATTACAATCCATTATAATCCATTATTGTGGCAAATTTAGACCACGTAATCGATTATGTGGTCATTAAAATCGATTTTTTTGAAAAATAAAAATCCATTATAATCCATTATAATCGATTATAATCCATTATTTTTGTCACTGAAATCGATTATTT